CAGTGATAATTGACAAGTAAAAAATTAGTAGAGAAATTGTATTTATTATTATATTATATATATTATATATATTCATTATTATATTATATATTTATAATGAAATAATATTGTATACAATATAAGTATACAATATCGTTTGGTTAAATATATACCAATTTGCATGATTATAATTTTACCTACATATATAAAATAACAGCTTATTATTTCATACATATTTTATATCTCATAATATTTAAAAATACATAATGTCAATCCGCGTTTTTAATGCATGCATTTCACAACCTTGTATCTGTGACAAAATGATCGATCAGCGTATCGTATAATGAAAAACATTAGCGGAGGTTTTGCTCGCATTTGTGATGACAGCAACATATGCGAAAATCGCAATATTTGCAAAAAGTTTGACTACCGAAAACACAGATTTAACATTGTCACATAATGTAATGTTCTAAAAAAAAAGATTATATAAAGAAAAACGATTTTCTATTTATAAAAGAATTGTACAGTTAATTGAATATATTATATAATAATGAAAAAAACTACATTTTTAAATGTCTTTTCGAATGGCTTTTATTTTAATACAATTAGTAATTTTATGTTTACGGAATTTTTTATTACGTACGATTATTAACATATATAATATACTTACTGAAGCAATGCTTAAATTACATTGATACTTTTTTTGGTATTTATTTTTTATTTTAAATATCTGTATTTTTAAAAAATGTGTTATTTATATTTGAAATAATAATATTTAATCATACATGTGAAGCAATATATATATATATATATACATATATATATGCATATATATATATACGAAGAGAGGGAAAGAGAAAGAAGGCGGAAGATGAAGCAGAAAGAGATTTAAAAAATGATGTTATATGTATCTATAAATTTATACATAGGTCAACAATTTTAATGATGAATTTACAAAATCATTGACGTATAAATAACACAGGCCCACAAAAAATAAAAAGTACGTACCCTGTGCTGGAGTGGAGATCCAGCTATTCTTATGTATTTTGAGTCGCTGAATACGAATTTTGAATACATAAAAATAGGATCCAGGGTAAATTTTCAATCAAGAGCGAAAAAATGACCCATTTTTCCTATTTTTTACCCATTTTTTCGCTTCAAATTAAAAATTTGCTCTGGATGGTCCTATTTTTATGTCAGATTCGTATTTAGCGACTCAAAATACATAAGAATCACAGGGTCTCTACCCCAGCACAGGATACTTTTTTTTTGTGGGCCTGTGTAATTTATGTGTATGTATATGTGTACGCGTGCGTATGTTTCAAAGAAGATACGTGTGAAAAAGATTTATTGACATGCTATAATGATGAAAAATTTAAGAAGTCAAAACGATTTAAATTTTAAATGCAATATTATCATTTATTGCTGTCTATAGATTGCTATTACTTAGATGTCTATAAACAGCCTATATAAACCTTTACATGAAAGTGGTAAAGAATGACGGAATTATTAAAATAGTCCAGGTGGCGGTATATAGGTGTAAAGTATCATTTTGTTTCAATCGATTCGAAATTAAACATGTAAGAACGGGAGTATACATGCCTAAGGAACTAATCGAAACTTGTCGTGCTACAACAATAATCGCGATTGTGGTTCGGTATGTCCAACGCAATTGAAGTTTCCGAGAATCTTATCACGTGTTTGTTATGTCTTCAATTATACATGTATTCACAAGTTTTTCTGAAAGTTGACTATTTCGAGATAGTGTTGTTTTTTAATAGTTTTATCTTTGATTTCAAGGCAATTGCAAAGAAAATATGTATGATTGATAAATATTATTGGATTAAAATGATACCGTAATAGTGCTCAATCGAATCGTGAGTCTATATCGAGCGATCTCGTTTGCCACTTCTATCTTAACTGCCATGTCCATGACTGCTAGACTGTATATCTTGTATATTTGATATACATATCTTAAGTTAGAGGTTAGTCAGTTCTAAGTATTCTTTAACACGATATTCATAGTTCGAGTACACGTGCAGTTAGTACTAATGGAGTTGTAATAGAGAGTAATCTCAATAATCCAGAATGATCAAATAAATTTGATATTTCATAATGATTGTTTACATAAATCATTTTTTTGAGAAAAGATAAGCCTCGTTTTTACTTAAACTGTCAAAAGCTTGAAACTATACAATACAAAAGGCTGTTATATTTATGTAGTGAATATTTTGTGGAACATATATATTCTAACAACTCTGACAAAATTTATACATAAACATGAGACTCTAATAATTATCTGATTTATCTGCTAAACTGTATAAAGACTATGATATAGCAAACGAGTCATATTTTATACTCTCACGATATGATACGATCGACCACGCCCGCCTTGAGTATGTAGGAATACAGTTCACCGATCCCGCAAGGCACGTACAATATACGTTTATACATACATTTTTTTCAAATTTATAACCGATTTTATATGGTAGCTTGCTATTTTTAGAATCAATAAATGCGCTTGCATACGAATGATGAGAGCACAGAATAGGAAAGTTCTCGAATAACATTAAAAGTTCATCTGCAATCGCTATATTTCTTCCAGCGTGAGGAAGTTATATTAGTTCGGGACAATCGTGAACTAGATGAAGCCGATTTTCGCAAATCGAGTTTCTTCCAAGTAAAACGCTTGACTCAGAGAAACAGAAAATCAAATAATACATGATGAAACTAGCTGTAATCTTATATATTGTTAATAATCAATTTAAAATAAAGTAACTGTAGTACCCAATGTGATATACTTACTGTTTGTATAGATAATTAAATAAATAATTAAATCTTTATTACAACCATGTAAATATTGAAAATGTCTCATATTTTTAATTAAAATGTTCAGAAATGTTTTTTATTTTAAACCTGATGACCATCGGTTTGTACAATGTTGGATTCAGCAAAAATCACAACACTTGAATAACCCATATTGGGTACAATTACCTTATCTTTTCATATATTATGCTATAATACATCAATTTACATGAATAGTTAATATCTTACGTCAGCTCTATTGTTAAAAACTTATATGCTAAGTTTTATAGTGTATATTATCTCTTTTCATAACTACATGAATAATTATCTTTTTTGTTTACAGCCCTTCGTTATTATCATCATTTGAACAACTTCGATTATCATCGTTCGATCATCAATCATCAGGAGATCTTTCTATAAACAAGGAATCGAGTGCAAAGGATTGCCCTGGAATACGCTAGGGCTTATCAAAGAGAAGAATTGCATGATCGAGTCTGCATTCAAGTGCTTCTCATCGTGAGATAGCGCATCTACGCGAAATGATCATGTGACTGTCAACGTCTCATATCGAAATCTCTACCGAGGGATGTCCTCCTCCGCGGATACCGCTTGCACGGACGCTGAGGAGGACGCCGAGGATGTGGAGAACGACGTCGCGGGTACAACGGCGCAGTCGTCACGTTACCTGTCGTCGTCGTCGTCGTCGTCGTCGTCATCGCGAATTCGTCACCGTAGCCGCGAGAGCGATCACTTGGAAGGATTGCGGTTAGATGGGTCATCGGTCGTGTATCGTCCATCATCGTCCGACGACACTTCTGGGAGCACTGTCGAGGACTCACGCCCATCGATGTCTTGGGCACGCGGATAAGAAAAGGGCATCGTCCCGCTCATCACGATCACCGTTAACATACGTGATCATCCTCGAGGGACGACGGCCAGGTGGATCGATCGGCGCCATACTCCGATCGATTGTCCACCTACTCTTCCTCCCTCGCGACGGCTCGATTCTCAGGTTCTTCCAGCCAATACTTATTCCGCACGAATTCGACGAATTACACGACCACGAACGACCGACTGCTGGACCGATCGATAGATCGCTGCGGTCAACAATAACAGCTAGTATCTTCGAGACCAGGTCAGGAAAGTCGATAAACGTATTCGCCGAAACGAGCGTGCGCGGTCAAGCACGTGCGACTGGAATTTCGAATGAGTACCGAACGTGCAAATCGATAAACGAATTTGAAGCGTATTCGTCGAGGATCTTCGAAAGGCCAGGTGAACCGTCGACTAACAACGCGGCAGTTGCCGCTGATGTTGAGCGATCTTTTAGGTCAATACTAATCCTTTTAAACATCATCGGCCTTCCAGTTGAATTGTCAATCCGATTTATAAAATCAATCCAGCGAAAGAATAGTAAGACGAACCGACGCGAAAACGTTGTTGATTTCAGGAAACAAATCTCGATAATCGCACGCCTGAACTTCGTCTGCCATCGATTATCAAACGAGCGAATAATTATACGTGTTAAACAGGTGTCAATTTTCTTGAGTAAATTGAACAAACCGGTAAATTATTTTTTTCAGCCGGCTATTCTCAAGGCGATCGATTTCTACGAAACGATTCATTTTTCTTTCTCCTTGTCGAGAAAATCGTTGATACACGTAGCTGTCCTATTTCGAGCTGCCGTGATGATGTCAGGAAGGAGGACATCGTTCAGGTGACGAAAGAAGTCGTCGCTCCTACCTCCGCTATTATATTTATCGAAGAATCGTCGATGGCAGACTTTTTTCAACTTCCACTCGACCGCCTAATGGGATAGTAAACGATACGAGAATCCACGGCAAGAAAATCTCCCAAGAAATTTGCAGCTTTCTCTGTTTTTCGTTACTCGTCGGAAATTTTTGGTCGACTAAGAAATCGTAGGCAGCCGATAATCTTCAACGCTGAAGCGAAACGCCAAAACTGAATTAAAATTTGTTTCAACTATAAGTTTATAAGCAACAAAAAGTCTTATTGATTTATCGGAAGTGATCATGAGGACTATCAGGCATTTTTTCTATCAAGAGTGCTGCGGAATCATTTCACGTGAAATTGTAAAATTCCTCTAAAAACTAAATGCTCATTTCGGAGAGCCACTTATTACACAGTTACATAAAACCGCGTTAAAATTGTTTTAACGTATTTTAATGACTTTTCCCGAATAAGTGCTAGCGCTAAATAGTTGGCGCGCGTCGTACGATCAATCTAATGAATCGCAATGGTGAATCGTCGCGTTCGATCGTTATCGTAAACGATTTCAAGTGCGTGAGGTGTTTCGTCATTTTGTTATGTGTATATCAAGAGATATACCTAAGGTGAATTATTGGTGATAACGAGTGAAAAGAGAAAGAAAATACGAAGGACTTTTGTCATGTATCGCAGGCGGCTTATAATCATCTTAGCCGGCACAAGCTGGCCGAGATCCTGATAGCCATCGCAGCGACCAGGATCCGGGACCATTCAACAAAGAAAGGATGCCAGGGGGGCGTAGGGGCCTAGTAGCCCCCCAAAACACGTTTCTGGAGAATATCATACGACGCAGTAGCAGTCAACGTAAGTTTTTGTTTTTCCTTATTAAAATATTTAAAAATAGACAAATCTCGATAAGCATACAGAAAAAGATAAATTGCGTTTTAGCTAATATGGTACCTAATATTTTTAGCGAAAATTTTAAAACAACAATTTTTCGAGCTATAAATGATTGATGAATAAAAGATTTTCGTACACTGGAAAGATGAAAATAAATAATAAAACGTTTTTCAGTTAAATATAATTAAATTTTAATTTGTAGTTTAATAAAAAAGAGATATGATGTTAAAATTAGAAGATTGGAATAATTGTGATTGTTTCCCTCAAAATTCTCTCTATGAATTTTTAACACAACCTCAAATTAATTAATAATCCTTCAAATATATATCATTAGAATTATCATTCTTACATATTCATTTAAGATAAAGAGGGAAATTATTAATTATTCATTGTACACGAATCAATATTCTCTAATTCTAATACTAATTCTCCATAATCAAGCGAGCATTTAGAATGATTTCGCTAATGTCGTGCAAATTTTATGCAATAATATTTCACATATTATTGCGATATAGATTTAAGCATTATAAATAAACTCTTTGACAGTTACGGCAGGATTAAAACAAATTAATCATTTAATTTGATATATCGATTTGCTTAATTAGGATGTCTTGAATTTCCGGAATCTGCAGGAATTTGCTATATTCATATATGTATATATTCGAAAGTGGCAACAGCAGTTAAGCTAGAAAATGAAGGTGAATCTATTCAATTGTATTTTAATTAATATTTTAACTTATTAGCTATTTGATTCCAAAAGAGAATGCACAAAATATCATGTACACATTTCAAGTTCTAATTACATTAGTAAGCCCTAGCGGTTAAAGTTTTGAAACTTATGTTGGCGGGTAAAATTTTGAAACTTATGTTAGATTTGATTAAAAGTTTAACACAACTAGCAAAATTATATAGCTTGTGATTTTATTCCTCTTCTTTTCACCAAACAAGTATTAAAAATAACACATAAAAATTATATTATATAATCCGAAATATATATACTCCAAAAATAATACTTATACAATAATTTTATATTTCTGGTTTGTAATATTATCATAATATTTAATAAACGTACAGCAAAATAAAGTTCTTAATACATTGATCCAAAGTTATATGTGATAAGAAGATTATACAGAATATACGCAATATATTTTAACCCTAAAATTGTATTAGATAATTAATTATAAAGCGGTTTAAATATATTACGGCAAAAAGTTACAGACATTTATATAATAAGATAATTATAGTAGAATATTATGGTATTACGCGAGTAAAGATGAAAATAGAAGTTTATTTGCTATTCATTGTACGACTGAAATATGCGAAATTTCTATTCTAGTTATTGTTGGCGTTTGTCATGTTTATGCGGAGTATTGAGAAAGACTTTTGAAGACCACGGAGTCTCTTAAATTTCCTTCGACATGGAAGATGTTCTAGAAATCCCCTGCCTTTCTTCTTAAGGGTAATAAATCCTATTTACCTTCGAGTGCTGTACGCACCATACAGGATTGTCAGTACTCTTCTTTTTGTATCTTCGCGTTACATGTTGCGTGACGACGCTCCGAGAAAAAAACGATGTAAATTTATTCAGACTTTTTCTCCTGGAAACTGTTTTGCATGACGTAAAATGTCATAAAAAACGAAAATCATGTTGGTAGCTTATAAAGTAATCACTTTCGACTTCAGCTTTTCGTAACAATTATTCAACGTTCGAAAGATTTATATTTGAAATTAGCATTCATGATGACTACGATATTGAGAATGATAAAAATATTTTTTAATGATATAATAGCTATAATTTCTTTATATTATGTATCAGTTAATATATATCAATAGATATCTATCAACATTATAAATTTATAATAAAAATTACAATGGATGCAGAAAGGATCTATTATTAAATAAAAGAATCCATCATCGATTGATTTCGTTTAATCGAGAAATTCTTCGTAGTTCGATTTTACACAACAGCTTATACCAAATAGATAAAACAGGAAAGAAGACAACTATACAGGGTGTACTTTATATCTTTATACAGGAAGGAGAGACATCAAGCGTGTATCTTTATAAAGTTACAATTACACCGTTACAAAGGGACCATATAAAGCCACTAACGCAGTGGATCACGCTGCATAATAATGTAATAATAGAGGAAATTATTAGCGACAATATAAAAATATAGTGCATATGTTCGACGACCCAAGCCACTGCTTCGGAAGTAAATTACATAGAGCTGGTATACAGGAGCTGGCGAATAACGATGGGCCTGCTCGCGTGCTCACGCGTGTATAATATCACTTTGATGCATGATCGTGATTGAAAATCATCAGCCAGGGAAATAACTCACGTTTGCGACATACAATCGAGATGAGGTTTGAACCTTCTACTCGTTAGTTAAATTATAACGCCAGCTACCTGTCAATAAACACTATACGAAACATTTCGTATCGCTCAGAAAGTTGGTGACTAATGTGTCAATATGTATGTCGCATATGTATTAAATCGGTGAAAAGCTTTATTTTAGCTAGTTTTTTGCAGTATTGGAATTGGATTCCGAGAGATTGGATTCATAGAGAGAAACAATTCATTGGATTTTTTCAGGGTTGGAAAGCAACGTATTACTTGTTAATACCATTATAGTTACTTTTTGTCTATAACGTTAACGATAACGTCGTAACATTTTACAGTAACAAATTATAGAAGATTTATTAGATAAGTTTAATATAAAGAACATCTTACAGTATAAAGACTAGCTTAGAGTTTTAAGATTTAATATTGATTGTTACATTTAATAATTATTATTAAATAATGTAATTTTAAAGTCTAATGTCTTATTTAGCATTAAAAAAAAGTAACGGAAAAAGTAGGTAACGAATAGTCACTTTCTAAGTAACGGTATATTCTAGATAATGCGAATAAAGAAAATAATCGAATCTTTTGTACATCGAAAATGAGAATTAGATATTTTGCAGTCTTTATCTTGAAAAAAGATTTTTTTAAATTTCATGCACATATATAATCACACACATACATGTACATGATCATTTTTACTTTGTACAATATACTAGATCTCCCTTTATGCTCAGCCCTGGCAAATGCTCAGAGGATTTGTAATATTCATAAAATATTCATGGCACGTCAATGCGACGTCGATGATTCAATTGTGAATTAATTCAATCGCTATAATCCTATCATTTATTTCAATTGTTTTCTTTTAAAACAAATCTATTATATGCTATTTTATCATATTGTATTAATTATAATAGTAAACGTTTAAAAATTACCATGATTTGTTATAATAATTTTATTCAAAGATGAATGAAAAAAGAGTAGAATTATACAACTACGAAAAAAGTGATAAGATCTCATTAGGTCTATGGAGGAATAAAATATAGTTACGGAAAGGCATATGCCGCGCAGGGAAACGTCTCTTGAGAAATAGTTGCGACAGACAACTGAGTTCAGTTAGCATGTTTTACTTGTTACAAGCTTAGCAGCTTTGAAACTCGAGGAAAGTTGGAAAAGCGTACCATATGCTATACCTATATACCTACATGTTAGCTATATATGACACAAGTTTATGACGTTGTTTTTACATGCTTGCACTTATTTATTTGTAAATAATGAAGACTTGCTGTCGTGACAGATCGCAAATTATCTTTTACCGAATTGCATTGTTATATTAACCACTGCTTTTTGCATTCAAGTTCCTGCATTTTGCTACGTCACAAACTTGCATATATATTTGCATGATATAGATTACATAAAGGGATAATAATGTGATACTGATATATTAAAAATGCTTGTTTTAGCTAGAAGTATTGAATATTTGTAATAGTAGACAATATTAGTTAGTAATGGTTATGACAATTAATAGTAAAATTCGATAAATGGTTGATGACTGCTATAAATAAAAGTTATAGAAAAATTTGAGAATCCAAGACGGCTAATGTTATATATGAACTTAAGTTTTTCTAATTCGAAGAATCAGTTTACAACTTTAAGAAAAAAATTAATTAAATTGATAAATTAAATTTACGCGATTGTGTGATTTATCTGCCAATAATTAATATTAAAAATAATAATATAAAATAAAACAAGTCAAATAATCCACATCACTCGATTACTCTCTATCCGGGTTCAAAAGTCTCAACTCTTATTTAGCCTCCCTTAAATAATACGCCCATATATATGTATATGAATGTTTGCATTTGTTTATATACAATAAATTGAGCAAAAATATAAGTAAACCTACTAGCAAAGAAAAGATGATATTGTTATAATTATATCAGTGAAACGGATAATAATATATAACGGATATATATATATATATATATATATATGTGTGTGTGTGTATAATATATATATATGTATTATAGTTCTATTTAATTTTTATTTGTAATTCTTTAAAATGTACAAACAAGTATTTATTTTTTATTATAACATTAATTATGCAAAATGCATGCATATAAATTATTTTACTTTACATTCTGAATGTCAAAACAGTCAATATTAGAGTTTGAAATGTGGTTTTATGCTTGACCTAGTACAACTTCTTTTAGCACTTTATAAGCTTACCCCCCGCGTGAACATCGATTCCAAGATATAACTTGCCAACCTGTTTTTTATTCTTTAGCCTTGAAAACACATTTCTCTCAGGGCCAGGACAAGCGCGTATCGTATCGTGTTGCGCGCGATACTTTGGACGATTAATATTATCCCATTTCGTTTGAACGAAAGAGAATCCGCAGGATCCCGGCGCCCACAAATATCAGATAGTGTTGAAAAATGTTTTATGAATGAAATTTATACCACTGCTTTCTTTTATGCTAGGAAAAATCTTTTCCCATAAAATCTTAGTACATTGATTAGCATAAATGTAGGTGTATTCTGTTTTTTCGTAAAAAATGATCGGAAGAATAAATTTTATCACACAGAAACAGATAGATTTACAAATGTACGCTATT